GCACGCACGCACACGCACGCACGCGCGCGCACACACACACACACGACAGTACGCACGACGCACGCACACACGTACGCACGCATACACACGTTGCCTTGAGCAATGCACTCTGATAGTGCTGCACATATTCGAGAGGTGGAGGTGCCTGCGACGGAAACGATAGTTATGTCACTCGCATGCACGCTGCACTGTCGCCAGAGGTTGACAAAGTTGACGCGCCTGTGGCATGTACTCCAAGTGGACTAGTTTTGGCTGAATGACCTGCAGGGCCTGCAGCTCTGAAGCAGTACGAAACATGACTCAGAGTAGATGCAGACCCGACCTGACGCATGAATAAGCAATCAGCGTGATCAACATCCACCTTTGTCCAGGAGGCATCAGGAGGCATACAAGCAGCCTTTGCGGAGTAAGCCTGCCTTCAACAGATCTGGTGATGGTGATGCTGTCCTGAGTTAGACTTGTTCAGCCTACCGTCTACATGCTTCCCGGTTCAACATCATTCCGACCGCTGCAACTGCTTATGACCGCAAAGCAAACGCCTCCGAGAGACGGCATTGTACTCAGCTGGTCCGCCAGCATGTCAGTCACGTTGTCCAGTGGCATGAACTGAAGGATCTGCGCAGGGGGCTGCGAGAGTAAACAAGAGCATGCTGCCATGCCTCTCTTTCAAAGGCTTTATGCAAGCTGAGACCACGCATACTTTTTCAGCGTCGTCGGTTCCTTCGACCTCGCCGGTTCTCCCCCTCTGTGACCTGTCAAGCAGCTCCCGGCACCGAATGGCATGCAGATTCGCCGCAAACAAGCAGGTGACCAGAAGATGCGCGGCTTGCAGTTCGTTGACGTCTGCCGAAGCTTCACACCGTCGCCTGGAACACTGTCACAATCAATCCGCAGCAACGATTTCCAGAAAACGGTATCAGCCTGAAACACACCATAATAACTTGTGCGTAGAAGCATTCGTGCATGAATGTACAGAGCTTCTGAGCTGCATGCTTTCTGGCATCAATTTAACAGGCTGTCGCAGGAGAAGTCGCCGTAAACAGAAATAGCATGGCTTCGTAGATTTGGAGCTTGCAGTTCCAAGCCAACTAGACAGTAGACGACGAAGAAAGCTGCTTGAAGTGCGGCATGGCATTGCACGACAGTGTCTATGCGCCTAACTGCTAGTATCGTCCAAAAGAACCTCTCGAGCATCACGCAAGCTGCAACCCCGAAGGATGTACCACGTGCGGCCTTTGTGTTCGTGTTCCTTTTGCTGTCGTGGAGTCCATGCTGTTCCTTCGCTGAGGTGACCAGTGGTACTCTTTTCTTTTGCTCTCGTTACTTTGCTGTCGTGGCTGGCTGTGGCTCACTAGGTCCTCTTGTGAAAGACACAGTGTAACAGCAACAAACCACTAGAGCAGAAACAGACATGCTCAGCCGCTACACACGCGCCCATGATGGTCCTTGACTTGGTGTCGTCGCGGCCATGAGTCTCCAGTTGATTAGGTTGCCGGTTGCCAGTCCCATCCCCATGTTCCTGGTGGCAGGGGGCGGCCCAAAATGAAAGACGATTAGGTTTTGTTGCGGAGCTGTTTTTTTGTCTTTTTGGTGCTCGAGATCCGATCGAGTGCAGGCCCGGCATGTGCAGCGTTGGAGCCAAGAAGTGGTGGGCACCGGAGAGCATCACTGATTCCCTAAGCGAGGGTTCAATTTAAGTGCGGCACAGCTTCGGGTTTGGGACTTTGGAAAATGTCATTGCCATCGTGACAAGTGTCATCCTGACAGAGAGGATGAAGGGCATTATTCTTACTGTTAGTGTTCGGCGGTGTACCATGCTGTATCTGCGTGTCCCCAGATGGGTGAGGCAGCTGACAGGCCGAGGCCGGAGGCCGAGACTCGGCCGAGATGGTTGCTTTGCATCAGTTTTATGAGTTTTATTGAATTTTATGTGCTTTTCCGAGTTTTCTAGTGTCGAAGTGGTCTCGGGAGGCCAGGCACTGTTGGATCTCGCGGCTGACAGGCACGACATGGAAGGATCATCTCGGAAATTGATGCCCGCACCTCATCTGCAGAAATAGCTCGAGGTCTTTGATCTCTTGCTGCAGTTCTGAAATTTCACCTTGGCGGCTGCATGGTCCGGGAAACTGCATGGTGACAAGGACGAGGTTGACAACAACTCAGCTTGTCGGCGGTCTCGCTGCTGACGTTCACCTCGCTTCTGCTCAGCTTGATCTTCCTGTTGATCCTGTGGTTTACCCAAGCTTACATTTTCAGCTGCGTCTTGTACAGGATGCTCGGAGCCTCGAAAGCGCGCTGCTCTTGGGAGAGGCGCTTGTTGACTTCTTCCAGCTGGCTCCTCTGACGATGCGCCTTGGTCCACTCAGAGCTCCTGACACTCACATGTTCGGTTTAGCGGAATGCCAGAGTCGAAGACCAGGCTTTCCGCACTTGCTGCATCTTTGATCTGCTTGCTCAAGCTCTCGCTTTCTTCCTGCAGGCTCACCATCAGCCTGGCAAAGGCCAACTGCAAGTAGTCTCCGACTTCGGTGTCGCTACAAGAGCTCAATCGCATTTCAGTGCTACTCTTACTGCTGCCATTTCAACTGGTCCGTCCAACATACTCTCCGTATCCCCCAACATAGGCAGTTCCGCCGTGGACTACACAGGTTTGCTGCACCCTTGAAAGGCCACGTTTTCTGCAACGCCTGAACTGGCTGAGATCTAGGTGTAAGCAAAACCCCCCTCTTGGGCGCTTGGAACAAAACCAAGTGCAAGGAAACGAGGGGATATCTGTGGTTGTCATACACGTCCACGGCTTTGGGCTACATGCGATGATGCTGGTGAGACTCATGGTGATTAAGGTAAAGCCCAGCCACGAGATTCTTTGCAGCTGTGATACAAGTAGCCACAAGCAAAAGCAAGACGCATCTCATCGGTAAAACGACACCACGGCGATCGCACAGCCAAGCATATCCAAATCATTGGATGTCATGTGTCCGATACTGGGGGCAGGTGGGGTGGGAAACGCACATCATGGCGTGGACATACACGTCAACAAGATCTGCATCCCGAGTGTGGACGCTGCATGTTGTTTCGGCCTCAAGCAAACCTGGCGGAACCTCGCGGTCGCCGATGGTTTCGGCCTGCTTTACTTCTTTATTCAATGCGCTTAGGCAGCGAAACCCGAAGGTGTCGCTTGTTTTCCACGTCCGGAGCGTTGATAATCTGCATGTTCTCGAAGCTCGTGGTCGGCCGAAATCTACCGAGATGCGCATACCGAATGTTGATCTGCAAGCCCGTGCTGCCCGAACACGATTGGAAGCCAGGTACCCAGCATTGACTTTCGAAGGCGATTTCTGTATGTACGCATGTATGTATGTATGTATGCATGTATCATGTAAGTATGATATCTACCTGCATATAGTATGTCGTTACTTTGGCCTGTACATAAGTAAAAGATAAGTAAATAGAAATGTCTCTATTATCAACTATATATACATATATGTGTATGTATATGTATATGTCTATGTATATGTATGTGTACACACACACACATATATATATATATGCTACCCCCCTCATGTACCCACGTTTTGGTGCTTGACTCCCAATTGACCCGCACGACCTCTGAATGTGTGTCGCCGCTTGTCGAGTCTACGGTAGGAGAAGTTCTGTCTGTGCAGCATCAGCCATCTATCTTCGTAGTCGCTATATAAGAAAAAATCGCGTTCTTCTA